TCAGTGCCAGTAACATCAAACCGAGCAAGTTCTGAGAAGAATCGCAATGGATTTGCGAAAGTATTCACTCGAAGTAAAGACGGGATACATCTAGCGATTTAGCATAAGTTTGGCAGTGTAGGCAGAGGCAGAGACAAATCTTTTAGGCTTATAAGTTCCTTTTGTAATGGTTTTAAGTTTAACACCTCCTTTTTTTGTTTCTTCCAGATTTTGAATCCTTATTAGTTTAAAGATAATAATAATATTATTATCATGTTACCTCTAGTGTATACAGGAGATTTTCCATGAACGGATGTTTCTAAAAACTCAATTTTCTCTTTGGTTTTTAGCAAGTTTATAGGAGTCTCATAAGCTATGACATCAACAAGTTCAATTTAACCATCGAGCCAATGTTATTAGTATAAATAAAATCAATGCAGTAAAGGAGCATCAGATGCTCTATGGTGTAGTGGTTAGCACTCTGGACTTTGAATCCAGCGACCTGGGTTCGAATCCCGGTAGGGCATATTTTTTTTTCCTTTCAGGAATTTCACCTGCCTTCGTAATCAACGATGAAGTTATATACATTTTGTTGCCTTTATAAGAATCACGAAAATAACATTATTTAGAGAAACGCGAGATTTTACAATAAACTCAAATTATTATTTTTTTTTTTTTTTGCTAAATTGTAAATGATAATGAAAGTTTAGGATTACAAAAATAAACAAAATGTTACACCTATGATTTTGCTTCCATGGCAAAAAAAAAATTAAGAAATATGGAAAGAAAAGAACCCATAAACCCAAAATATTTGCATCTTTCTACATTTTAATGGAGTGAAAACTTTAAAATCAAACACAACACTAGATTATAAAACACAATTCTACACCCTTGTAATTGTATAGAAATTTATTTTTGTTAACTACACAAAATATATAACATTACATAACTACACATATGAACTAAAATATTGTACTATCAATCCATAAACAAAAACACGATTTACTCGTTCGGAACGTAATTATGTTTTTTTTTGTTTTTCATTAGTATTTCTACTCTATTTTAATTTATAAATATAAATTATGTATCTATTTAGCTAAATGAGAAAAGTGTATTTATGATCCAAAAAAAAAAATATTATTAGTAATTCTATTTAACTCATTAATTTGCTTTGGTAGAGAAACAAAATTGGAAAGTTTACAATACACCAAAAGATTAATTTAATACGAACTTTGGGTTGAGATTGGTGGGACTATAATTGGTCCATAATTCAGGCCCAAACATAACAACCGTATCAGATTAAGAGACTTTCCTTTTGATATTCACATTTTCATTCTATGGCGACATCGGCGGTGATGATGACGACGGCGGCTGAGCCACCGAAGATAGTGTTGAACCAAGGGAAACGGCGATTCGAGTCGGAGGATCACGTAGCTTTCATCGAATACAAGATGAGAAACAACGGCAAAGTAATGGATCTGATCCATACCTACGTTCCTTCCTCTAAACGAGGATTAGGTTTAGCTTCTCACCTCTGCGTCGCCGCTTTCGAACACGCCTCCTCTAACTCCATCTCCGTCCTCCCTTCCTGCTCCTACGTTTCGGTAACGGAAATTTCTAAAAACAATTCTTAATTTTGGATCTCTCGGAAAAAATTTCTGGGATTTTGAAGTTTGAATCGGTGAGTATTTTTCTTCGTGTGTGTGATTTTTGTTTTGTAGGATACGTTTCTTCCTCGAAACCCATCATGGAAACCTCTGGTTTACTCAGAGGATCTCAAATCTAGCATCTGAAGAAGAAGACACGTCTCTGTAATAAGCAAGTCTGTAATATTGTCTTTGTATTAAGCTTTTGACTTACCTTGGAGCAGTGATTAATGTCACAAGTTTACAAATCACAACACTAAACACATTTTCACAATGATTAAATTATTACAACCAAGTGTAGGTAGTCTAGTGACTATGGTTCGATCTATACAAAAGAGACTGAACCCAATTTCCTCGAGTTCGAACCTTGCTTGGGAGCGGCGTGAAGTGGAGGTGGGTGAATTGGCAAAACCGAAGCCTTATATCCGCATCTCGACAAGCAAATGTACGGGTTTCGGTCCAAAACTCCTCGGAAATTTAACAATTAAACATCAAAATATAAGATTTTATTGATCCATATATAGTCTTCACATGGGAGATTACAAGTGGTTTTATTGTTGCAAGATTGGGGATCTATTTGTGGAATTCAATAACAGAGAAAGAATAAGAACGACAAACGAACTCGCAACGAAGAAACCCTGAAGCACGAGATAAAGCCTCGAATTGAGAAAGAGATCTTTCTCTACCACCCGGAACTTGTGATAATATGAACATGTCCATAGTGAGTCCAATGTTAGAAGACAAATCGTCACTCTTCTTTGGTTCTATCGGCATAACCATGTCTACTACGATCACTTTTCCTTTTTCCGAAAGACTTCTCCAACAGTTTTTGAGGATTTTCACACAGTTTTCGTCGTTCCAAGCATGTAACATCCACTATATATCATCGATTAAAATCATTTCATTATGTTCAAAGTTGTAAACTTCATATTCATACTCAAACATTATATAATACTTACTTTCATGAAAATAGCATCTCCCTTTGGTATTTCTACAAACATGTCTCCCGGCACATGTTGCACTCCTACCAAAGATTTTAGTAAAATCAAAATTCAATATATAACAATAATTTTAAGAGAGAGAATTAAGAGAAACTAATACTTCAATATATAAAAATAATCAAATTTATCATTTAAGTTGTTTACCGGGATAAGGGGAAGCATTGCCTAAAACCGCTGCTAAGTCGAAATTGATGCCCTTAATATGAGGATACTTGGAAGTGACTAGACCAAGTACGGTTCCAACTCCTCCTCCTACATCAACCAAAGTGTGAACATTTTCGAATCCTTTGTAAACTTCTAGAACTTTCTTTATGACCATGGTTGAAGATTCCGTCATTCCTCGGTTAAACATCTCAGCGAATTGTTCGTCCGAACCGATGTAATCGAAGACTCTCATGCCATTGGCAGAAACAAACGCATCTTTTCCTTCTAGTATCACATCTTTGAGATGTGACCTGTCGAACAAATAAATATGAATTAGGGATATGTAAAGCGGTTTTAACGAAAATGACTGGTTTTGGTTTGTTCATCTAGTACTTACAAAGCCTTGAAAACAACATGGTTTTGGCACAACATGAATAGAGACAAGAGAGAACCCGAGCCATCACTATCTTTCAAGAAATACTTGCAAACCGGTTCGGCTGCATATACTCTTTCGGTTTGACCGGTCTCTCCGGTTTCGATTATACGGCACTTCAAGATTGAGTGGCTGGCAAGTAAGCGCATCATCCGGTCCAGTAGTACCGGAGCCTCCGGGTTGATGGGTTTAGTTGGGAGACGAGACACTATCTCGGAAGGAGAGAGCCAAATGCCGTCTTCAACGGTAGCGATTGTCTCGATGACTCCAAGCTCCAAGGCAGCTTTGAGAACCATTGGGAAGGTCAAGGAGTATACGATCCTCTCGGCTTGCAAAGCCACCATTTCTTCAGAAACTTGTTGTTGTTGTTCTTCTTTGGTTAAACCCGGTTTAGGAGAAGTGGTTAAGGGTGTTTGTAGTTGGTTTGCCATTAATTGTTGTTGGCTGAAAATAGGAAGAAATGGGAGATGGTTACAACATTCAAACTTTGAGCCATTTTATAGTGGAAACTGAAGATGGA